TTTTTTTTTACTTTTTAATTATGGCCATTCTTGCAGGAGTAAGGTGGTAGCTTATTGTGGTTTTAATTTTCATTTCCCTGATGATTAGTGATGTTGAGCACTGTTTCATATGTTTGTTGGCTGTCTGCATATCTTCTTTTGAGAAATGTCTATTCAGCCCCTTTGCCTACTTTTTGATGGGATTATTTGTTTTCTTCTTGCTTATTTGTTTCAGTTCTTTGTAGATTCTGGATACTAGCGCTAATTTGCAAATATTTTCTCCCACTCTGTGGGTTGTCTGTTTACTCTGCTGATTATTTCTTTTGCTGTGCAGCTTTTTGGTTTAATTAGGTCCCATTTATTCATTTTTGTTTTTGTTTAAATGTGCTTATTTTAAAATTTAAATTTATTTTCAAATTTTTGTTTAAATTGAGCTCTACATCTTATTCAAAGATATCAGCTAACGAATTGGCTGAGCTCAGATTTCTAGTGTTAAAACATATTTGTGAAACATAAAGTTGTATCTCTGATCAAGTAAGTACCTGTCAGTTTTACTGAGTTATAAGTAGAATAAAGTATTAATCAACAAATTATGATTAATCATTCTTATGATATATCCATACGTATCAAAAGTAATATGAACTAAATAGGCCACTTTCATCCAGGCTCATTAAGAACAATTTAAATTTCAGATATAATATCTAAATTAGAAGAGTAGTTAATATAGTGTAGTACCAACTTAGTATTTTTTATTGATGCATAATAGTTGTATATATTTGGGGGATGCATGTAGTATTTTGATATATGCATACAATGTATAATGACTAAATCAGGATAACTGGGGTATCCATTGCCTCAAACATTTATCTTTTCTTTGTGTTGGGAACATCACAATTTCTCTCTTCTAGCTATTTTGAACTATACAATATTGTTAACTTTAATCAGTCTACTATCAAACACTAGATATTATTCCTTCTAACTATACTTTTGTATTTTAATCAAATCTCTTCTCCCCCACCCCCCTTCCCTTCAAAGCCTCCTATAAACACCAATTAACTTTCTACTTCCATGAGATCTCCTTTTTTCAGCTCCCACATATGAGTGAGAGCATGTGATGTTTGTCTTCCTGTGCCTGCCTCATTTCACTTAACATAATGATTTCACGTCCATCCATGTTGCTGCAAGTGACAGGATTTCATTCTTTTGTACAGTTGAATAATATTC